GTTCTGCCTCCAGCAGCAGCCAAGGGGAGGAGAGCCTTCGCATACAACCCACAACCCACCCCCCTTCCCCTAGGCCAGGGGCCTTCACCACACAAGTCCCCTTTCCTCATATAAGGCTTACAGTCTCAGGCAGGCTCTCCCTTTTAAATTTAAGCTGCGTCTGAGCTGCCTCACTTTCTTTCAGAAAAGGCATGCAGCAGTGCAATGCTGTGTGGGCGGGACATATGCAGGAGGAGGGTGACCTCACAGAGCACCAGTGGTAAATCATCACTCCACTCCCCCGCCTGGCCTATAGAAAAGCACTGACACAAGAACAGAGCTCCTCCCGCCCAACCCCCTGCCCCCCACTAACAAGTATAGTGTTAATGCATAGCACGCCTATGCCTAGCCTCCTGGCAGCTGCTCCTCCTGAATTTAGGAGGCGCTGTAACTTGAGGCATGCTGTCATACGTAAACACAGAATCGGCACAGAAAGACGTTTCTGTGTTTACAAGGGCAGCAGGGAGCACAGGGCCAGAGGTAGCGGTACAGGGTATCACCATGCTTTAGAGAGAAATAAAGTCACTCCTGTCAGTGAAAGGCAGAGAGAAAGGAGCTCCCAGCTCACCCCCTGCATATACAGACAGCATCCGGGGCACATGCCCTGCAGGCAAAGAGCAAGAGAAGTTATCAGCTTACAGGATTTCTGGTAGAATCAACTGTTTTTGTTTTGATGGTATATTTAATAGCCCAAATTCAAGCAAATAAAGTTAATGTTAGGGTTTAATTACAATTTAGGCAAATTATATTCCCCGTTCATAAATGTATTTTCTATGTCAACTCTCCCCCTTCAACCTCCAATGAATCCCAGGAAGCAGTATTGCTAAATCAGAAAAGTAGAATATTCCTGACTAGCAGATATAAGAGTATCACAAGAATGGCTAGGCAAAATAAATAATTAGAAAGGTAAAACAGTGAGCGTGTGTTTCAACCATGTAGTGGTATGCTCAGAGTTTCATTAAATTGTGTGCAGTAAATATGAGTGCTGTTTCTATGTGTAAATTATATCATTGTTTTCTGTGTAGTGGTTCCACTTTTTTTTTTTACTATCACAACTGGCAAACATCCAACCTGACAGCAAATATGGTCATCAAGCAGGCAGATTTAGGACTATGAATGTTCCAGAAAATTATCAGGGCCATAAATTCATCTTTTCACTCATCACAAGTGCTGATGCATGCTTTAATAACATCTCTTAGGAGTCTCCATTGACCTCTCATGCTTCTTTGGCACTCTGCAAATGTATATTGGGGACATGTATTTCTTCACCAGGCTCAGTACAGAGAAATCCTACTCTTGTCATTGAGTGCAAGAGCATATTGGCAAGCAGGCATTTGCCAAAGCTCCTGCACTGGCTATAGAACCAAGATCATACTTTTGAGAATGATTAAAGGTTCCAAAGCAATCAACCCTTTGACATATACCATATATCCCATGGTTATGCCCATGGGTTTTGTGATCATCTTCAAAATTAGACTAAAAGTACCATTGCGAATAAGATAATTACAGAACACAACAGCTCACATACTTATTGCATTTTTCTTATCCCTGCAGTGGTCTTCTTTCTGTATCCACTGTTGGATTTTGAAAATTACATGCCAACAGCAAAAAGTACTACTGCAGCAAATCCATCCACCTGTTATTTTGATGGGTATACTACACTTCTATTAATGCAATACAGACAACTGTGAGGATTGGTGGCTACAATAAAAACATTTAAGGACTTGAGTGAATAGATTAGCAAAAGGTATTTCCAAGGCATGAAGTCTAGAATACAATGATATTTATTTAAGAGGTATGTGGGAGGACGGGACCCAACAGGGAACTAAAAGGTGATGCAAAGGATGCTTTTCTTCAAAGTTTGCATTTTGTGAGGCAGTGAAAACGTAAACATAGGTGATATGATACAGCAAAATACAAACAGTAGTTCCTTATTTCAGCATACATTACATTTTACAGATTTGAGATGCACATTTATGGATGCATGGTACAAAACAAAAAATTTATATCAGGATATGATTACAAAAAAACCTGTGCTGAAAGAAATACATTTGCCACCGGTTATCTCCCCCTGACAATGAAGATTGCCAGTCATTCTGATCCTGACTTGAATACCTTGAGTATCTGACCAGAACAGGTACACAATCCACTGACCTGCTTACTTGCTTTCGAAAAGTGACCCAGGGTATTAAAGCCAGAAAATGGGCATGCCAGTCAGACAACTAGCATCTTCAGTGATAACCACATATTTATTCCTTAAAGGATTCTGCAGTTCTTAATTTACTGTACAGACCTCAAGGAAGGAAGTTGTATTTGGTCAGAGGGCGAAAAGAAAAAGTCCCCACTACCTTATTGGCTGCTTTCTGGGTGCACTGTTTTGCTATGGTAATGGATAACCAAACAAGCTGTAAGGTGAATAGATGGCAGGAAGGAAGATGGTACAGGGCTGTGTGCATCAGGAGGGAAGGAGTGGATTGGCTTGAGAGGGGTGAGGTGATCACTGGTTAGACTTCTCCCTTATCTTTTTAATAGGGCCTGGTTATCGCCTTTAGAAAAAAATAAGCATACTGCACCCTGATGATTGATGATCACTTCTGTTCAGGTAGCTCTTCACCTCTCCAGGGTTGCCTAGAGCAAATACAATTCATCTGCTGCAGATGTTTCATTATTAAAATACTACAACAAAAATAAGTGGAGCTAAAGAAAGCAAATATTTCACTAGCAACTATATAAATCAAAAGCAGCTGACGATTTGAGTAATGATTTCAAATGTTAACTTAAAAAGAGGAACTGAACTCTGGAAGCTGTGCCCACAAAAAAGCAGGCAGAGGGCAAAGGACTAATCACCAGTTTTGGCTGTGGTCTCCCTACAGCTGCTCTGTTCCTATTACTGGCTTTCCATGCTTTGTTCTGCACTGTGTCTGTGTGGAGGTGATACAGGCATGGTTTTGCACCATTACGTCAGAGCCTCCAGAGCAAGAACATTGAGCAACCCAATAGTGACATCACCAAATCTCACCCCAAATTTCCTGAGATTAGCAGTCAGAAGCACAGTCTTACCTCTAACACTGCAGATAGTATAAAGGTATGAAGCATAGGCACAGGAGTGCCCAGGCACCGTCACATACCAAGTGAAATGTTATTTTTCAGGAGGAATTCCAGAATAAAAAGGTACACTTTTCAGGGTACTGCTTAGGCACAAGTAACATTTCTATATGTTCCCTATAACATAGCATATCTTTACAGTTTTCAGCTCCAATTGAAGTGCTGTTCTCAGTAAAAATGTATACACTTACGACACTGAACAAAATCAAAGATTAATTCACAATCATTTACAAATGTACTCAAGTACATTCTAAACTTTAAAAGAAATACACATATGTTTAAAAAGGATCTAGAAAGTATTTTCCATTTGTACTGGAGACATTTTTTGATCAATGTTCTCCTGGCAAAATGTAAAAGGACCCAATGGTTTAACCTATTAAAAAGATAATAGGTTATTAGTAAGCAAGTACAGTACACCGTAGCCCTTACTTCAAAATCTTGAAATAGAAATTGATAAATGAAACCTGGATTATTCCATAAAAACAAAAAGTGCTATAGACACTTACAAACAGTATTGTTTTGCCAACAATATTATGAATGAGAGTCAGAATGTAACATCTCCTACATTAGAGCTGTCAATATGATCCTTGTTTCTTGCCATTGTCAGTTCTTTCAGGATGTCATTTCTTTTTCCACCAAAAAAGTCTGACCTGACTTAATACTTTATCTGCAGCTGTTAAACTCAACGTCCCACTGCTTAACAGCAAATATTGCACAGTAAAACTTGAGTACCCTAGGCAAAACACGTTGTAATAAATACGTTTTTAACCACTATTTACCCATATTTCAATTTAGTATTCAGTTGTGGTTTGCTTCACTATGGAACTTTGAACTACTATGACGGTGAGCAACATAAAGCTGCTACTGTATGTTCTGGACAAAACTAGCTACTGAATCATACAAACGCAGTTCAATGCCACTGTGCAGCTTTTCTCATTTACAAATCTGCATCTGCTTGCTGGAGCTTTTTAGAGACTACCATTTCCACAGTTTAGTTATAAAAAATCCAAATATTCATAACTGATACTCTGAAAATTTACCAGCAGATGTAACCTAGCCTGGGGTTTCCTCCTTTATGCCAATACTTGCTGGGGGTTAAAAAGTATTATGCCAAGAACCTGTTAAAAGAAGATCCCTTTTTCATTTTAAATAGTACACACGTTTTGTAAGATGGGAAATTATAATGGTGTTTTTCCCAATATGCCTCATTTTACATACTGATGTAAATGTATGGCTTTAAGTAACAAAACAAAAACAAAAAAATAAAATAAAAAGGAACATATAAGACAGAAAAAGCATTATGGTCCCCATTGCCCATGTTGAGTATTGCTACCTTTGCCATTGGTTGTCTAACAGAAAAAAAATGCATATAATCTTATTGTTCAATCACAGTAAATAAACATTATATTTAGGTCCATAACCAATCACAAATTCCCTGAAGAATTCAGGAATTCAAGAACTGCTGTGATGACTTCTTTTGCACAAGTGTCAAAACAATTTAATAAATAAACCTAACAATATACCCAAGCCCAGTTCTCAATTTAAAACAAAAATGAGGATAGACGTCTTTCAAAAATGCTATAAGCATTCGCTTTCTTTTCTTTAACAAAGCACTTGGCAGGTCATAAAAATAGAACTTTGATCTTTTACATATAATTTATGAAGAAGTGTTGAGAGTCCATGGATCCTTAAAAACATTTGGAACCGTCATGCCTTGGTGATTGTGGACCCAATAAAATCTCACAGAAGACAATGCAAGGTATGATCCTTCACGTACAATGTTCACAATAAGCTCTTGCCCTTAGGGAAGGCTTTGAATACCATTTCCTTAGGAGTTCTAAATTCTGTTATTTTGGTCATAGTTCATCTTTCTCCATCAATTCAAAAGCTTCAATATCTTCTTTCCAATCTGCCAATATGGACTCTATTGGCTGCACTTTTTTGTCCCACCTCTCAGGTTTAGATTTATCTGAATTCTGAACCGTATCACCAGTGCTCTGTGTATCTTCAGGAAGTGCAGGTTTACTGTCCGGTGAGACATCCTCATTCTTAGTATGAAGAGAACTGTCAGTTTTGTGGGGCTGGGAAGTTTCTGACTTTGATTCTGATACTGTTTCCTCTTCAGAGTCCTGTGTATCTGCTAAATTCTGCTGAGATATTGACGTTTCTGTTGGAATATCTTTTCGAGAGTCATTTTCTGTTGACTTCTGGGTACCACTCTCATCTTCTAAATCTAAACAGAGCAAAAATTGTTTAGTGCTAAATATTTCCTCTCAATAACCATACACAAATACTAAAAAAGGTCCAAAATCGAGATCATGAGCTTTATCACACAATAAAAAATGGATCTTGTGAAAAAAGTATATTTTAATATGAAAAATATATAAAAGTTTCAATACCTTGACAAATTTTCATATGAATTATAATATGTCTGCCTTATTTTTAAGTAGTCTAAATGAAGTGGTTTACATTTTGGTGTGCTGTTTTTTTCATTCGATCCTGCCTTTTGCCACATAGGAATGTAGTCAAGCAATTATTCTTAAAGCAGTAGTAAAGTCCACTTTTTGATTTATAACTAGAAGTAAGCCGGTGATAAAGCTTACCTGTAGGTACAGTAAATATCTCCTAAACGTGCACCATTTAACCACTTCCCAACCGCGCTATAGCCAAAAGATGGCTACAGCGCGATTGTCTAGTTCTGGGAGGGCGTCCATGGACGTCCTCCCAGAACACGCACCCCTGCACGCTGCCAGTGATCGCTGTGTCCTACGGACACAGCTGATCATGCGATACAGTGAAATGCCAATCACAGCGGCTTTTTACCACGTGATCAGCTGTGTCCAATGACACAGCAGATCACTGGGTAAATGCAGTTGCCGGTTATCAGCTGCACTTTCCTCACACTGGCACAGCGTGAGGAACATACTGCCGAGAACCTGCAATTGTCAGCGAAGGGATCGGCATTGATCATCGGGGCACTGATGATCAGTGTGCCGCCCACCTGTGCCCATCAGTGCCGCCTGTCAGTGCCCATCAGTGCTGCCTGTCAGTGTCCATCAGTGCTGCCTGTCAGTGCCCATCAGTGCTGCCTGTCAGTGCCCATCAGTGCTGCCTGTCAGTGCAGCCTCATCAACGCTTATCAGTGAAAGATCAAACATTTCCTGCTTGCAAAATGTTAAAATAGAAACAAAGAAAAACTGTTTTTCCAAATTGTTTGCAGCTCAAAAATAAAACACCCAGTGGTGCTTAAATACCACCAAATGAAATCTCTATTTGTATGTAAAAAATGATAAAAATTTCATATGGGTACAGCAGTACATAATCACAAGTCAGCAATATCAGGCAGATCTTAAGTGGCTACAGCACATATAGACCATAGATGAAGCTGAATTAAATTACATAACAGCCTCTGCATCCACGATAAAAATCCTTCAGAACAAAGGATAATCTATTCCAGCAGCCATACACTATTCATTTTCTTTCGTTCAACCAATGGCCCCCGAATGGGAAGCACCACTGACAGCAATGGAAGGCTGACTGCTCACGCACCTACTTACAGCCACTCGAGTTACAATTACCTGTGGAATGATGGCCCTGGACACAGTCTGTGTCCACAAGATAAACAAACGAAACCAACGTGTCCACAACCAATCATTCATAGGTAATTGCTGCTTGATCGATTAAATGCCAGTGGCCATGATAAGCTGAGGGAGATGTCAGCCTGCCGTAGCTTTCAATGGGGCTTCCTGCCTGCAGCTAGATAATTGCCAGATGCCACATCTAATCATTAAGTGTGAATGGGGCTTACAAGTATGATCCAAGATGATTGGCAAACTGCAACCTTATTGGGAGGATAATCAACTTCTTGAACAACCATACTTATAAAAACTTTTTAGCTTTGATTTCTACCATAGCTTATGGGAGGCCCCACCAGAATTATAATTAAAGGATCAGTGCTAAAAAGCTACAGTCAAATATGGCAATGGGATCTTTCAAGTGTGTGGATGTTTTCCCTATTCTGTTATAGGCAACTTTCAAAGAACATTCTTTAGAGGTATGCCACCTCATCTGACTTAAAGTGGACTTAGCATCATGTCTATGGGGAAAAAAATGCTTCCTTCTACTTGCAGCCGGCATCATCTCAGCCCAGGCAGTGTCTTGCCCAGTTGCGCAACGCCTACTTTTAACAGGTACCATATGTAGCAATCAAAGTATACATGAAGACTTTCAAAAGTTACTAAAGGTCCACTTTAAGACTCTTTGGAAGAGGATTTATTTTCCCTGCAGCCCAATTATACTAATCAATCATGTGGGGAAAATGTTTCAGGCTGCTCTGAAACCAATGAAGAGAAGAGTGCTGCCACCCATATGTGATAATGCTACATCACCAGACCATTGAGGAAGCTCTATAAATGAACTGTAATATGGTTTAGGGCTCTCACACACAACTGCGATTTATGGCACATGGGCATACAGGGTAAAATAAGGCTTTAGTTGTGGTGCCTGAGAGCAACAACTGCTGCATTTTTTGGTGGATTTAATTGAAGGGATATACTGTATATAAAAAAAATGTAAAGTATTTAAAAAATACCCCGATACAAATGTGCGCAAAATTCCATTGACAGCAGATAAGCAAGTATAGTTGAGCATGTTGTATTTGGTAATCCATTCTCATGGGCAATATTACACTACAGCTGTGGCTCCTGGGCTCCACAACTACAGCTGTATTTTACTCTGTATGCCCACACACTGGGAATTAGGTCTGTGTGCAAAAGCCCTTATGCTCAAAACAAAAGAAGCATCGGTTCTACAGCGGTTAAGGAAAACGGTAAACATTTCGAATGTTTTGGCAATTTGACTGATGGTAGACATTACTTTTGTTAAATGGTAAAGTGTAACTAAAGGCAAAATGTATTTATTTAAATAAATTTTTGGATAAAGTGAAAGAGGGATTAGAACATCTGCAAGTTTCTAATGCTCTCTGTGCCCTTGTAAAAGAAATTCACCATACTTCTCCTGTTTACCGTTACCATTGAAAGTGAAAGTAAAAGAAAACCCCAAATTTTGGGTTGAAATCACAACAGTAATAGAGGGGAAAATCTTCCATTGGGGATACTAGTCCTGGTGACACACCGGGATTCCCTCACTTCTTGTTTTGGCTATGGGACAGGAAATGACAGGGTTATATTCCTCCTTTACTTTATCCAATATAAAAGCTACTTTAAGTGAAAATAGGTATAAGAACTGTAGTAGGAGTTATAAAAGGACTAAAAATTCTGTAATCGGGCAAAATTAACAAAATTATTCAGTAGACTGCTATGAAAGGTATGCAGGGTAAACAGTTATAACAAAAGCCAATCTTTTTTTTTTAGTTCAAGATAACAGTTAGGAAGCGTTAGAGCCTCTGACAAGTTTTATCTGCTATGCCTATCCACAGGGGACACCTTCTGTTCCAGTGACAGCTGTCAACTCTAAAGATATAGCTCATACAAACATATGCCTATTCACCACCCCAACACACACATACACACCACTCAAAAGAGGTAATGTTAATAGGTCACCGATTTCAATGTAGAGATTTAGAGTTGACATTATTAAAGAGAAAGATTATAATGTTTATGGATACTTGAGACCACTTTCCTATACAGCTGTTTTTGAAAAACTACTACACAGAAAATTAAATGTTTTAAAGTATAACGCAACCCAAAAAATACAATGTATTGCAGCTTATTAGTCCTTGGATATGGTGGCATATTCAGCTTTAAGTGATGATACCTATAACATCTGGTTCAGGTGTATCTCTTGGAATCTGTTCCCAGATATATTCCCACACCTGATAGCATCATCACTCAAATATAAATATGCTTGTATTCACCCTGAACTGAGCAAGGGGCAATTTGAACCATAAAATATGTCTTATTTGGTGAAATAAACTATTTGTTCAGTAAAGCTGTTGACGCCTACCAATTTTTATATACCTTATTCCAGGTGCTTCAGCCGATCCGACTACCAATGAGTTTTTTTTTCACAAACACCTTTTGCACACAACCAACAACTTCTTGCACCCACCTAAGAATCCCAGAGAGGGCCCAGGAAGGGACCACCTGTGGTTTAGAGAATGCCCACCTTTTCCCTCCATGGAGATGGGTTTTCTCAACCTACGAACACTTGTGAGTTTTCCCATGCTTTTGGGTGACCGCACCCTCACCAGCCGTAAGTTACTTCTTTCTCTTTTCTGTTCATCGAGCTGTGGAATAATTTTTTTGGGCCGAAACAATCACTTTTAAAGCAACTTACTATACTATAAGGGCTCTCCCATCTCTTTCCCCTTTTTTTTCAGTGGACATCCCAAGCCACGCATGAGATTGCTAGCCAACTCTTTTTGGAGTGCACATTTTGGGCCTTGCTTGACCACCACACCACAACTTCTACAGCCCTTTTCTTTATGCTCTACAGATCCTCAATATCCTTTTAGAGAACTATTGCTCAAAAGTGAACAGCATATTCCAGATGAGATCTTACGAATGCTTTGTAAAGGGGCACAATTATGTCTCACTCTCTAAAGTCTATACTTCTTGGATTACAATAAAGTATTTTGTTTGCTTTAGGAACTGAAGCTTGGCATTGAATGCTATTAATAAAGCCCAACTCCAGGAAAAGATGAAATTTAAATGTGCATTTGTACAGATGTGCATTTAAATGTGCATAATTACATTACTCCTTAGCCTTGATATTAAACATCGCTTCCTAAGCCATACAGTAGTGTAATGGATCAGTCTCAGTTTCCTCTATGAGTGAAGCTAATATTTTTCCCTTCTCGTCATTCTTTTGGGCACTGATCCCGTCACTGCCCTGGTAAATTCTCCTGCACTGAAACCTATGAGAAAGAGACCTGGCTACTGGAAGTGGTGCCTCCACCAATAGAAGGTCTGCATATCAAACATGCAGTGATGTGGACAACAGAGGAAGGACAGCAGGAAGTAAACAGGATAAGAGAGAAGGATCATCCTGTTACCATGGCTTTTGCTAAGTAAAACGGGGATTGCTTATATCCTGGAATTGGGTTTTAAGCCTATGATCTACAAAAACACCAGATTCTTCTCGATTGACTCCCCTAGTTGTACTCCCCATTGAGTTTGAGATGCATGATTATTTTTAGCCCCCAAGTGCATAATTTTACACGTATCAACATTAAATCTCAGTTATTATATAATTGCCCAACCAAACAGTTCATTCAAGTTGTAAGTTAATACCCTGTAAGGATATTATTCCACTACAAGTTAGGATCACATTACATTAGGAGATGAGCATGCATTTCAGAGCTATATTGAATTTGTTTTAATTTTCTTTTGCTCAGTTATACACTTCAAAACAAGCATTGGCCACCAAGATGAGTCACCAGAGCAGGAAGTGTGATTGAACCTACCTAGCAAGGAGACAGCAATACTAAATCTGACAGTGGTTCTAACAGCAATACCCAAAGTATAATCTTTTGGTTGAAGTTCCTTTAATATGTATATAAGGGTTCATGTTGACGGGCATTGAAGTTAATCGCCACATCTTCCATTCAAAAGCATGCAGCTGCATTTGAATGGAAAAGAGCATTTGACAAGAAGGCTGTGCTTGATCTGTTTTGTCTGCAGTTCAAATACACCTTAATAGTACAAGCTGTATCAAAAGAAACACACTATAAAACAGGTCAAATGCAGCCTCTAAGCTGCCATGTGCACTGCTCAATTAAAGTCAATGGGATCTTTCTATCCTGCGTTTGGCATACGCTCCAAACATACCTCAAACACAGGAACCCAACGCCTGTAAACATAAGCCCTTAATATACTAAAATGCAACATTGTTAGCCAAAAATACTTACTGCCATCAATAATGTAGTTTGGGACAATTTTACCTTTAAAAATGGTAGCTGAAATTCCAGGAGAAGCACAAGTAAAGAAGGGAAAACATGATGAACATATATATTTTCACAGCGCAGTTTACAGTGACACACTAAGAATCATACACAGGTGAAACAGGTCTGCATTTTTAAATACATTGAAATTAAAGACAAATCATAGTTAGCTATCGCATAATCATTATTCCATTTTCACTTTACAGATTCTGAAAAAAAAAAAAAAAAAATTACTAAAAATTATATTTACACACACACACACACACACCCAAAAGTATTGGGACACCCCTCCAAATAATTGGATTCAGTGTGTTCCAATCACCTCTATGGCCACAGATGTATAAAATCAAGCACCTAGGCATGCAGACTGCTTCTACAAACATTTGTGAAAGAATGGGTCGCTCTCAGAACCTCAGTGAATTCAAGTATGGTACCGTGATCGGTTGCCACCTGTGCAATAAGTCCACCCGTGAAATTTCCTTGCTACTAAATATTTCATGGTCAACTGTTAGTGGTAATATAACAAAATGGAAGCAACTGGGAACAACAGCAACTCAGACACGAAGTGGTAGGCCACATCAAATGACAGAACAGGGTCATCGCATGCTAAAGCGCACACTGCAACTGGACTCTAGAACAGACATATCAGTAGTGACGAATCACACTTCTCTGTCTGGCAACCTGACAGACGTGTCTAGATTTAGGGAATTATTTTTCAGGGGTTGGGCTTGGCCCCTTAATTTCAGTGAAAGGAACTCTTTAAGGCGTCAGCATACCAATACATTTTGGACAATTTCATGATCCCAACTTTGTGGGAACAGGTTAGGGATGACCCCTTCCTGTTCCAACATGACTGCATACCAGTGCACAAAGCAAGGTCCACAAAGACGTGCACAAGTGAATTTGGGGTGGAGGAACTTGACTGGCCTGCACAGAGCCCGGAGCTCAAACCGATAGAATGCCTTTGGGATGAATTAGAGCGTCGACTGTGAGCCAGGCCTTCTTGTCTGACATCAGTGCCTGACCTCACAAATGCACTCTTAAAGAATGGTCAAACATTCCCATAGACACACTCCTAAACCTTGTGGACAGCCTTCCTAGAAGAGTTGAAGCCGTTATAGCTGTAAAGGGTGGGCCAACTCAATATTGAACCCTACAGACTAAGACGCCATTAAAGTTCACGTGTGTAAAGGCAGGTGTCGCAATATTGTGTGTGTGTGTGTGTGTAGATAGATAGATAGATAGAGATCTATATACAGTATATGAAGCTGTAATGCCTGTGATTCTAGGGCCTACTGGAGAAACAAGCTCAATGTTTCGTTAAAGTCAGCTAACAAACAGATTCATTATGACAGAAGAAATTGTATTTTTTTTCTGTCAGATGCGTCTACCTGCATATCAGCATTTTTTATTTTAAAGAATACTGAGCAGTGAATGCAGTCAGTCGCATGTAAAGCCTTGGCAGGATTCTGTGCAGGGGCATGTACATCCCAAACCAGTCAATTAGGAAGCAAAAGACTCCGAAATCAGAAGACGACTGGGTGAAAATGGAATCGCCATCGCCTGTCATGGAGAGGTGTGGATATCACAGTGCTGGAAGACAATGCTTTGCTGAGTGAGTGTGCATATTCACCTTGAAGTCTGTTACTGAATACAAACAAATCTATACCTAAGAGCTGTCACTAAAACTAGTCTACCAGTTTGGGTGGCACAATAATGGCTAAAAGGTTCAATATCTACCAGCACTGTGTTACTGTCATAATTTAATTATACAGTAGATCAGTTAGCATGAGCTCGCCTTTTAAATACATGTGATTAATTTATTAGTTCTGGAAGAAAAATTTTATGTTTTTTGTTCCGGAAAGAACAGAAAGTGAAAGCAATATTATTACTTTTAAACTTGTTCTAAAGCTAAAATGTTTTTTACCTTAATGCATTCCCTGCATTAAAAAGGTAAAAAAAAAAAAAACGCCTTTCAACTTGTTTTGGTTCCACACCTCCCTAAATTCTTACCAGAGTCCTCAATTATCCAGCACTGTGCATATCTGCATCTCTTCTCTGCACTCTCACTCTACTCACAGGGACGGAGGTAGCAGCAGGAGTCATTAACTCCTGCATGCCTGCACATTTACCCCCATAGCAAGTGGATTATTATGGGAGCAGACACAGAAAAGAAGGAGCGGATAGTGCCAGCAGGAGACCCCAGAAGAGTCCACTTTCTACCTGCAGATAGGCAGCTTACCAATTCTTCGATACGGTGGCTGCTTTATTTATTTTTTTAGGCTCTCTTTATTTTCATCTGGTGGTCCAGCCATAAGTCTGTTTTCAACAGAACAAACTCTACAGAAAATGTATCAGTTAGAGGGATGAGACAAACCATTTACAACTGATGGGTGCTTTGAATGAACAGCTTTTATTTATTCATGTACAGTGCCTTACAAAAGTATTCATAACCCTTGAAATTCTCCACATTTTGTCATGTTACAACCAAAAAAGGTAAATATCTTATTGGGATTTTATGTGATAGACCAGCACAGAGTGGCACATAATTGTGAAGTGGAAGAAAATGATCAATGGTTTTCAACATTTTTTTACAAATAAATATCTGAAAAGTGTGGCATGCATTTGTATTCAGCCCCCTTTACTCTGATACTCGCAGCTACAATATAGTGGAACCAATATAAAAAAGGAAATTGAGTCCCCCTGTGTGTAATTTAATCTCAGTATACATACAGCTGTTCTGTGAAGCCCTCAGAGGTTTGTTAGAGAACATTAGTGAACAAACAGCATCATGAAGGCCAAGGAACACACCAGACAGGTCAGGGATAAAGCTGTGGAGAAGTTTAAAGCAGGGTTAGGTTATAAAGAAAATATCCCAAGCTTTGAACATCCCGCGGAGCACAGTTTAATCCATCATCCGAAAATGGAAAGAGTATGGCACAACTGCAAACCTACCAAGACATGACCATCCACCTAAACTGACAGGCCAGGCAAGGACAGCATTAATCAGAGAAGCAGCCAAGAGGCCCATGCTAACTCTGGAGGAGCTGCAGAGATCCACAGCTCAGGTGGGGGAATCTGTCCACAGGAAAACTATTAGTCGTGCACTCCACAAATCTGGCCTGTATGGAAGAGTGGCAAGAAGAAAGCAATTGTTGAAAGAAAGCCGTAAGAAGTCCTGTTTGCAGTTTGCGAGAAGCCATGTGGGGGACACAGCAAACATGTGGAAGAAGGTGCTCTGGCCAGATGAGACCAAAATTGAACTTTTTGGCCTAAAAGCAAAACGCTATGTGTGGCGGAAAACTAACACTGCACATCACCCTGTACACACCATCCCCACTGTGAAACATGGTGGTGGCAGCATCATGTTGTGGGGATGCTCTTCTTCAGCAGGGACAAGGAAGCTGGTCAGAGTTGATGGAAAGATGGATGGAGCCAACACAGGGCAATCTTAGGTGAACCTCCACCCCAGTCTCAAGTCTTTTGTAGACTCTAACAGGTTTTCTTCTTTCAGCAGGGCAATGACCCTAAACATACAGCCAGACCTACAATGGAATGGTTTAGAATATATCAAAACATATTCATGTGTTAGAATGGTCCAGTCAAAGCCCAGAGCTAAATGCAATTGAGAATCTGTGGCAGGACTTGAAAATTGCTGTTCACGGACACAATCCATCCCATTTGACAGCTTGAGCTATTTTGCAAAGAAGAATGGGCTAAAATTTCACTCTCTAGATGTGCAAAGCAGGTAGAGACATACCCAAAAAGACTTGCAGCTGTAATTGCAGCGAAAGGTGGTTCTACAAAGTATTGACTCAGGGGGGCTGAATACAAATGCAGACCACACTTTTCAGATATTTGTAAAAAAAATTTGAAAACCATTTATCATTTTCCTTCCACTTCACAATTATGTACCAATTTGTGTTGGTCTATCACATAAAATACATTTACGTTTTTGGTTATAACATGACAAAATGTGGAAAATTCAAGGGGGTATAAATACTTTTTCAAGGCACTGTAATATCTTTATCCATAAAGAAAAACAAAACAAACGTTGCTGTAATTGCTTTTGCAACTTAGCTTCAATTTGTTAGTGCATCTAAATCTGCTAGTCCATCTAACACTCCCCTCCCCATAGACTGACAATGCTGCTGCCCCTGTACTCCTTCATCCAGAGTGTAGGCATCCTAATACAGGAGGTGTGCTAATGGCCAGATCACTTGGTGAAAACAGAGGGGGGAAGAAAGCGAATGCTGCCACTACATTTAAGAAAATTGCAATACATTACATTGTTGGTTTTGGGTTTAATTCATCTTTAAAAGATAAGTTCACCTTTTGGACAAAAATAAAAAATGCACATTTTTTTGCAGGTAAAAAAATGTGCATTTATTTTTGTCCAAAAGGAGCCTGGAAAGCACTGCATCAGAGATCAGTAGATCGCTGATGCCATGCAGATCTCCTGTAGACCTGTCAGAACATCTGCTTGCCATACGGGATGTATGAGCAAGCAGATATTCTGACAGGAAGCTTCAATGAACTACCACGGCGCTCCACAATGCCGTGGTAGTTCATTTAAAACTACAAGCCCACAGTCGCTAAGGCTGTCGGGACTTGCAGTTCATGAATTCACGGAAGTCCATGAATAAATGAAGCAGCCGTGTGACGGTTACGCTGTTTTTCAAATATGACAGATAATATGGGGAGAAGTTTCCCCGTACTGTCAGAGGGAGGGGGGGCAGTGAGCTGCGGCTATGGAAACATTTTACATGTTCCACACTAAAAATGGGTGGAATATGTAACATGTTCCAAAGGTGAACTTATTCTTTAAATATGTATACCGAAGCCCAGATGGAAGCTTTGCAAATCTGAAAAACAAATGCCTGCTGCTGAAAAGTCCATGAAGCACTAACAGATCTGGTAGAGTGTGCCCTAACAGGAAAGGGAGAAGCCTTATTCTTCAGACCAGCCTTTTTCCACCAGGGTGCCAAAGCACTCTGGGGTGCCTTCTAGCTTCTTCAGGGGTGCCTTGGCAAAATGCCAAAAATTTGCCCAAAACTGCCCATAAATTGTGTACAAGTCAGCAGGCAGATCAAGCCTGCCTTTTTGTTGCATAAGGCCACAGGTTTTCATTGTGCAACAATACAACCTTGGGCACTGTGCGGGCCAGCTGCCAGCATCCTAATGGCTGCTGATGTCATCAGTCGATAACATCAGATAAAAACATCCTCCTTTAATTTACCCCACCTCTCTCTGTCAGCACTGGGGCCATATTAGCTGCATGGTTGGGAGAAAATGAGGAAGAAGAAATGCTGGAATAGTAGTCAGTACCGGTGTGCAAAGTGTGATTGATTTGTAAGAATAAATCACCTCTAATGTTGGGTGTCCTACATATGTGGATGATGCTGTGTTATGTAAAACTATTAATTTAAGTTTTTATATTTCAGAATGGGGTGCCTTGAGACTCTGCATAATTTTATAGGGTGCATTGACTGAAAAAAGGTTGAGAAACAAAAAGTTCAGACTATAGGTCCTAATGAGAACTTGTCTGATCCACCTAGCAATGGTAGAGCAAGAAGCAGAGGTACACCCGTGGGAACCCTCAGGGAGCAAAGAAGACAAACTGCCTAAAAGATGCAGTAGCTAAGAGGTAAACTTTCAAAGCAAGTTCAACAGCAAGACAGTGGCGAGAATTTCTTTTGGATGTTTCAGAGCAGGACAAAAAAGGAAGAAAAGACAAATGTCCAGGTTAAGGTGTAAAGAAGATGCTACCTTCAGGAGGAAAAAAGGTTTAGGCACCAAAACTACCTTGTCCTTGTACATCACCAATAATGTCTCCATACAAGATAAAGCCGCTAAATAGAGGCTAGTGGGACTGGGAAGGATATTAAAGGGAGATCTCCCAAAAGCCTTTTTTTTTTGCCAATGACCAATCACCCGAAGGTAGTTGCATATAACCCAGTTGTAATGACTCCCCATGGCCATAGTACTGCAGCAGTGGGGATTTCACACACAATCCTGACTGCTGTAATTTTCACAAGGGGACTATCTGCTTTCAGATGGAAACGACTGAAGGCTGTACAGTTGCCAGATTGCTTCCATAGACCTCTGTCTATCTAAGAGACCCAGAATGTCTCAATAAAGGGAACCTGTAACAGCAAAATGCGAAGACACACACAAACAAATGTATGTGTCAGAGGAGACTATGTACGTAAGACACTGACTGCGCTATACGTTACATATTGCTGTGCATGCCAGAGTGAGGGCAATAATTTACTGGGCCATCATTTAAGCGTCATGCACACTGCAGCTGTCAAATGTCCCTCCAAGTTAGCCTATGTGTCCTACACACCAAAATTGCATTTAGGAGAGGAGCTTTTGGGCAGAAAAAGAAAAAAAAAAAAAAAACAAACACAAAAACCCCGTCAGACATAAAAACGACAACTGCCCATGTTAGCACGCCTACATGCTAGGCGTGTTTAGAGCTTGAGATTTTTTCCATTTCAATGGCCAGAAAAAACTGAATGTTCTAGCCAATGAAATAAACAAATGCCCAAGGCATTTGAGGCGCCTAAATGCGTTGGCTTAGGCACGTTTTTGAAGCTGCTTTTCTCTTGCTAGGAGGAAAGCGTTTTAATAAATCCCCAGTGTGCATGAAGCCTTATGGTTAACTCTAAACTGATGAACTGTAAGAGCTTTTAAAGCATCACTTAAAAGTAGAACTATAGGCCTTTTTTGCAACAGCAAATGAGAGTTTTAAGCCCTGTCAGATTTTCTTTCACTATCTGTGTCCCACTGTGGAATTTCCCTTCACTTCCTGTCCCACAGCCAAACAGGAAGTGAGAGGAAATCCCTGCAAATTAACCACTTGTTAACCGCAGTTAATTCTGAACTCTTGTGACCCGAATTCAGCCCACTAAAATCACAGAGCCAGTCCAGGCTCTGAAAAGATCACAACCATGTGGTCAGGATCCACCCAGAAGCCTGGAACGGCACCTGGCTCAGCCTCTCAGGCCAAGAGCCTAAGCTAGCCCCCCCCCAACCCCTTCACAGCCCAGTGCTCCAGAGAGAGCTGTAGGGGCAGAGCACAGAACTGGTGACCGATAGTCATGGCTCTCTGCTCACATTGGATGGGAGAATTGAGAGAGCGCTGCACTCGATTGCTCAGTTCTCAGTGCTAAGTCGGTGGGGGATTGATGCTGCATCCATCTAGGCAAGTATAATGGGTTTTTTTTTCCCCGAAAAGCCCATACTTCTCTTTTAATTACTGTCCTTCATTTGAAGAGAGAACAATAGCATTGTAATGCAAGTCGAATAAAAAAACACAAAAAGTTTATATAGCTACAATAAAAGCAGAGAATCTGCCCAAATGTAATCATCCAAAATGTTATAAAACAGAACATATATAATATAGTAAAGCTGTTCTTAATTTCTCCATATTTAGTAAAGGATGGTAAATGCTTCATATCAACATGGTAAGACTATTTTACCTCTGTCTTTGGCCTTATCAGACAGAAGAACCTCCACTTCTTGGTATTCACGTATTGCATCAAGAATGATATTTCCCTCCTTGCTGAACAAAAACAGCATAGGAATTGTTATGTCATCTGTATTCTTCCCATCTCCAGCCATTTGAAACAGAGGAGCTGTGTCACTGCTGCTACCATCATTATCGTCTGCAATACAAAATATACAGATAAGCATACGTAGCTGGGGAAAAAAAAAAAAAAAGAGAATATTTTATGAGCACTTTATAAAACAGTGTGTGTGATCGGTAAACAACAAAAGTTATTCCATGAAATAATAAAATTGGTGCACTGCAAATGCTAGCTAGAAAGCATTGCAGCTGTTCTAACTTCGTAACGGAATCTTCCAGAATAGAAATTTGGCAGTTACAACTTGTTTAGTTGCTGAAACTACAAAACACAAGGCTTAAGTCACTCAGCTTGGCCAGACTCTGGAAATATCCTGACTATATGGTCGGGATCTACCCAGGTGCCTGACCACAAACTGGCTCAGCCATTCAGCATGCCACTGAGAACCTAAGCCAGCTGCTCTCACACCATCTGCAGTCCAGCGCTCCAGTTAGCGCTGGAGGGACAGAGCAGAGGGCCAGTCACTGCTCTCTCTGCTCGGAGTGGAGGGGAGAAGTGAGCGATCAGCAGGGTTAGATTGCTCAGTTCTCAATGCAGAGATGGTGGGGACAGATGCAGCATCAGATTGACCTAGCTGAGTACACAAGTTTTTTTTCCCAGCCCCATACTTCTCTTTTAATCTCTCCTGTTCTCATTTATAGACATTATAAACCAAATAAATGCTAATTGTGTAAACTGCAACAGCCCCCGCTGCATCTGGTGTTTTAGTCGAGTGTTCTCACCCCAGGCGCTTGTCCTGGAGTAGGATCACCCTCAACTGAACCATGTCTAGCATCAGGCCTAAATATTTCAACCTTTGTGTAAGGATAGAAGTCTGACTTGAATTGAAATCTCATCTAAACCTCTCCAGCATTTTCACTGTTCAAATCACACTGAGCTCCACAAGTGGAGCAGACTGCTCTCTCAGAAGCAATTTGTCCAGTTAACCTATGACATGAATATCCTGAGTATGCAGGAGCCCCAAGACCAGGGCTAGTACCCTGGTGAATACTCAGAGCACTGGACAGACAAAATGATAGGGCCACAAACTAAAAGTGGCAGTCTTCCCATGCAAATCATGGGAACCCTTAGAAAGGTGGGAATATTGGGATGTGCAGACAAGCAGGGAGGCAGCCACTGACCACACTGATTCCACATAAAACTTCTGCACTTGGGAAAACTTCCTGCTGTCTTGGAAGTCCAACACTTGGGTTTGACCTAAAGAATGTCTTTTGTAAAAAAAAAAAGCAACAGTGTCTTTTTACGATACAACAGTGTACTCTTTCCCACCATTACCTTGGCCAGTAGTAGCTCTGCTGACCAACATTTCAGCCATTAAATCTTGCATGTGTGCACCGCCAGGAGGCCCAGCCGCAAGGTCTGCTGAATGAAGTCCATTAAAAGCATCCACCAAGAAACTAAGAGCACAGGGAAAATCCTCCAGGTACCTTCCCAACTCTGTATCAACATGGTCAGGGTGTTTGTTTTTTGACATCCAGTGTGCCCAGACCTTGAGGCTTTGACCCACTCCCACAAATTTCAGGTTGTTAGCGGAAAGGATTCTGGAAAGCTGGTGATGTAACCCAGTAACAATAGATGAGAATTCCTCCCCTGACACAAGAAAAGCAGAAAAACCAGACAGATGAACAGAATCAGAGCCACAAGGAACTGTTCTCAAGTAGATACAGGGCAAGAGGATCTGTGTCCATGTTCCTCTCTACCTAATAAAGGGATATGGGACCCCCTTACTGGTGGAGTCCAAACTTCACCCTTCACTGCGCCTTGTCACAAATGCCTTCAGGGACACAACTCCCAAGGTGGGGATCACCTGGAGCATTCAGCCAGTCCACCAGGCAATACATCATTGCATAGAGTCCCGTTACACAGAGTTCTGTGCTGAATAGTAATATAAAAAGCAGTCCCCATGTTTCCAGTCCGGGTACCGTTCCTCTTTAATCAATTGCTGTAGATAGCAGAGCTGGATATGCCAGTCTCCTAATCCCAGGAGACAATTAGCTAAAACTAGCAGAGACTGCACAGACATGACTATGACTTACACACTGTAAGGGAGGGGTCATGCCTGTGAGTGGATTGCCTGTCTTTTTGCCAATGTTCAATCATCTGAAGATGGCAGCATAATCCTATAATGAATGTAAAAATACCCTGTGTCCTGGAATGTACAATAAGACAGAGAATACGCAAAAAAGGTATCTGTGTTATCTGCCAACAGATTTGTGTTTGTGTATCCAGCCCTGACATTTACACAGCTTTGTCACACAGCAAAGCCCTGTCTGGAAGTGGAGGAGATCTGTTTTTTCTCAAATGCAATTCAGTAATCCTTATAAGTCTCTTCTTCACCTTCACCCTGTGACTGGGCATTGAAAGGAGAAGCAGCATACTGATGAGTTCTTTTCTCTGTAACTTTACGCTGTCCTATCAGCGTGTCCCTTTCACCACAGCTTAATTGATTGGCTTTTAATGCTGATCTTTCCCCCTCTCAAGTCAAAATTTAGATTCTTGTGCTGCTTGCATTTAAACATACAATTGGGCAGGTAGAGTTACATTAATTTGTTTAATTTATAACTGCATGGAGTTCAGCTTACCGTCTAATAAGCCACACAATGATCACATTAGAAAAATGAACTACAGAGAAACACAAAAACTCTGGATGGGCAGGGCATCAAGCAAGGTAAGAACATAGATGAAGAATAAAAACTATCACCTTTTCTAAGCACCTACCAATAACAATTCCTCCAACGGCTCCAGATTTCTGTACATTTCGAGCCTTCTCTGCGAACATGCACTGACCTCTCTGCATAAGTGCAATTCTCCCTTTGATGGTTTCAGCATTTGTTATTTCTGAGCAGCCACTGTAAGGTTCAGCTTTGGCTACAAAGCCCCGGGTCTGTGGAAACAGAATGGTAATGAACAATAATCAGGATCAAATTATTTTCTGGATAACTATACTAACTGCATTTCATGAAACAACTTTCCAAAGATTTGGATCTGGATCAAAGCCTCACCATAGCATAACATTACAAAACAGGGTAAGTTCCTATAAGTACTGCATCCATAATTTCCAGACTGCTCTATTGCTACTGTAGTTGATAATGTAAAAACAAAAGCTAGAACATGCTAGCATACTTGACCACGAATTCAAAGATTATTTATTGTGTAATCTACACTCATAGGTCCCTCTATTAGGCACACCTATCCAAGGTTTTGATATTGACAGAAACAATACTCCAATACTCGGATGAGCTAAACTGATATACTGCTCAACTGTTATTAAAGCAAATCTAAGGTCAAAATGTAAAATCCGATATTTATTATTGTTATTTTTGGTCACTACCTCCCCAAGTCGGGAGTGGGTAATTTGAGCGCATGCTGCCTTTTCTGGATGTGGTAGCTATCTCTCAGGATCCCTCTCTGGAATCGAACGCTGATTCCCTGTTACTTGTGATCACCATGGTAGGCTTAGAAAATACCATCGAAAGTTCATAGAGCAGACATCTGAATGTCTCGTCACCATCATGGGGAAGTGCGATCGGCCCCGAGGTTATCTAAAGTCATCTAAGCGGTTGGGGAGCGGCAACCCAAGGTAACGCACCAACGTAATCTGTGATTATAGCATTGGCCAATCACAGCGATCACACATATAAAAAAAGGCTGAAGCCTTTGAAGACCTTCCGTTCACTGCTTAATTAGCTGATTATAGTGGGACACTTTGGGCCTAGAATGTTGCAACTTTTCACAATATTCTAATTTTCTGAGATTGTGGATTTGGGGTTTTCATGAGCTGTAAGCCATAATCATCACAATTATGACAAATCACGGTTTGAACTATCTTGCTTTGCATGTAATGAGTCTCTCATATATTAGTTTCACCTTTTAAGTTGCATTACTGAAATAAATGAACTTTTGCACGATATTCTAATTTTTCAAGTTTCACCTGTATATTATATTATAAAAAGGCCCCACTGTGCCTGACCTTTTAACCGGAGCTTCAGGTTTCAAGCAGACTCTCCAGATATATTAATAGTCATGTGCATAAACTTCCCAGCTCCAGGATACACCAACCAGCCTTTTCTTTATTATAAACGCTGGCAAGTCTGGGGCCCCTTCAGGCAGGGTCCCGAATGTAGACAGTGAGACCACTCACAGTGTTCCCAATCACTATCACACGAATCACAGTGTCACCAGACCAATGTAGCTGGCAACAGTATTCCTGATCACAAACACACCAGTGACAATGTCACCAGATCAGTGCAGCCAGCTACAATGTTTCTGTCCACTAGCCACACCAGTGCCATAGGAACCAAAGCCAGTGCAGCCATCAACAGAGTCCCTGGTCTCTGCCACATTAGTAGAGTGTCACCAGATTCAGTGCAGTGAACAGCATTCCTGATCATTACCACACCTGTGCAGTTTTGCCACTGCCTGCCACCTGTATTGACCTTGGTCTATTTATGGACCATGTTTCTGCCTGCTATCTGGGTCAATCGTTTGCCTGTTTATTGACCATGTTTCTGCCTGCAGTCTGAATTGACCCATTTGCACACCCAGCTAACTATATACCTGATAGACACCAGTTCTCTCCTGCAGACAACTGCACTCCTGGAACCACAGGAAATCTTTCATTCAACCTTTGTCCAGCCTCCTGTACCTCCTTGGTCAGTGAACATGGCATTCCTGGGGGTACCCAGGAATGCCATGAGTCTTCAGTTTTAGTAGCAAGCAGCATAACACAGCGTAACACAGGAACAGAGCGGAGGGAGACCCATTTCCTGTACTCTAAGATATGGAATTTACAGGCAAGTCAAAATTATTTTTAACTTATTGTAAAGTACAGTACAAAGACTTGATATTCAAAGACCCTGGGACATCTCCAAGCAATAAATTAAAAGGGTGGGCAATAACAAGGTAAACAGAACTGTGCCAACAGGCCCAACAATAATGAAGGTCAACAGATTCAACAGAGTGCTGCTGCAAGAATCTTTCGAGCACGAAGTGTGAACTATAGACACCCAAGGCCGAGGCCAGAGAACATAAGGCCCCCCCAGGAAAGTAAACCGAGCATTGGATTACCACTATTTATACTAGCCTTTGCATTCTCACTTCTCTTGGATGATCTTGAGGTGGCTCCATGCGATAATCCTTCTAGTGGAGTGAGTATATATATATATATATATATATATATATATATATATATATATATATATATATATATATATATATATATATATATATATAGGCTCACATACGTGTCTCTTGCTACCTTTATCTGGGTTGGACTTGTTCGGCTATTGAATATACCATTATATTATGTTATATACTTTATTTGAGCCTCTATAGCAATAATCCATGTGCTCAAGCTATAGATTATACTACCCTTTTTTGTAAAATAATAAACAGGAGATCTTCTTCATTTATGGCTTCTATTATACTTGATAGAACCCCTTATGGGCTGCTGCAATGTGGTCCTTGCTGGTGAATGGTCCAAGAGGGGGGTCCCTGCATGCCCTCTCCCTGACGTGTCACTTGGAGAGCATCCTCATTCAATTACCGATGAATATCTGTCATCAGATTTTTCTCACATATTTTCAAAGTGATATCATGTATTATGTTGTTCACACTTATCTGATACGTTATGTTTCAGACCTGACATATTTATACCATGAAGAAGGAAATATGAGTTCTGAAATGTGTTGGATTTATCTGGACAATATCACTATACAAGTTCTTTTTGGCTGCTAACCCATTTGTCAGTTGATGTATTACAGACTGGCAGGTCTTGTGCACACTGTGTGTACTCTGTATGTGAACTATGATCCACTGTATTGTAACTCACTGCATGTAATCTTTTGATTCTTTTTACCGCAATAATTTTTTGTAGAAATTACTGTTTTATACTTTTGTATATTCACTGCAGTTTTTGCCATATAAAGTCCCAGGGGAATTAATTTTTTCTTGGTCTTTATATATTGGAATGTTGACAAAAACAGTCTAAATAATGGTGGGACATTTTACCATATTCTTCATTTTTGCATAGAAGGGAAAGAATAGGTGCAAGTGTCTTTGTGAAAACTTTGGTAGCAAAGGACAGGTCAAAAGGATGTGAAACAAAGCGGTTGTCTCCTATTTCCTATTGCAAAGTGCAAAAAGGCCTCAGGGGCTCTTTATTGGAAAGAAAATTGGGGGAAGACTTGATGGATTTTTTGCTCCAGGTCTTGTGACAAAAGGACTGGTTTAGAAGTTGAAGCCTGGGTAGAGCACTGAGATGCTGTGCATTTGGATGAGGTAGAAACCCTTGAGGATGGAGGCCGCAGAGTCTTCTGGTGAAGAGGTGTGGCTACGCATTTCGAAGCACACACACTCCTTTCTTAACCACTTCCCCTCCAGCCCATGTATATAAAAAGCTGGACAGGAACAGGGCAGGAGCGGGTTGCCGTTCATAAATGGCACCCGCTATTTTAGCCTGTGTGTGCTTCCTGGGAGCGCTGATCGCTGTACGGGGTCTCTGTGTGAGATCCCAATCATGTGATCACTGATTGGCCAATCAGTGATCACATGAATAGTAGTAAGCAAGATGTCACTTCTGACATCATTGCTTACTACTTGTGAAATCTGTGAATGATCACAGAAGTCACATGGTACAGGGCCTTTCACAACAGCCTTGTACCATGTGACAAGCTGTGACCAATCACAGCTCTCACAGGATTTCTCAATGGCTGCAAGAATGAAGTCAGAGAGAAGGAGAAATTATTGCTTTTACAGCCTTTATGGTGTAAAAGCAATCCGTGTTAAAAAAAAAAAAAAAAAAAAAATCTTCATCACTGCCACAATAAATACAGTGTCACTGTGGTGACACTGCACTGCTAGGGTGACAGTATGTTAAAAAAAAAAAACCAAATAATATAAAAAAATAAAATAAAAATGTAAAAAAATAATTTTTTTAAATAATTTTTGGTTATAAACTAATTTGGGTTATTTTTTTTTTTTTTACTAAAAAGATAGCTGGCCAAAATTTATGAAGCAAGATTATTGATTTGCAAAATTTTATAAGAAAAACACTTTTTCAAAATATTTGGACTTTTTCATTTATATAGTAAAGAAAAATAAAATCCTAGTGGTGAATAAATACCACCAAAATAAAATTTTCATCTGTCTAAAAAAAAATGCTAAAAAATTCATATGGTTACAGTGTTGCATGACAGCACAATTGTCAAAGTGTGACAGCTAAAAGCTGAAAATTTGCCTGGACAGGAAGGGGATAAAAGTGTCCAGATTTGAAATGGTTAAGCTCCAAAAGCATAGCTACAACTCTTCTTCACTGAATTATTCCATTGGGACATCACTACCAACTTGTGCTGTCAGTACGTTACAGCAGGATGGGTAATAACGGGAATACAAGCAGATACCTGTATTTTTATCTCATATTATGAGGAGCGAATTGTGATTTTAATAAATTAAAATGGTTCAATACTACACTTAGTTGGCTCTCCCTCTCTTTCCCTATTGCGCTATGTAAGAAGGACATTCAAAGGGCATAAAACTATAAAACTGAGGTGTCTTTTACAAGCAGTTTCAGCTGATTAGGCTTTGAGCCACAAGATTCCGCACATGCAGAGAGCAGTTTGTCATTCTGGAGATCTGTGCCATAACTTGTTCTAGGGCATCAACACAAAAAAACAAAGCAGAAGGCAACTGATATAATTACTGCCAAGAAACAGTCCTGGAATACAGGATGGTGTTGGTTGTATATTGATCTAGTCCAATTATCTGCAGTCTGGCTGACAGAAATTGAAGCAATAGATGGTTGCAGACCTGGGCCTGTGAGAGTCAAGAGCCTTTAAGAGCATCTCAAAATTTCTGTAAGCAGAATCCTTGAATGTAGGTACATCTTCAATTGGTACAGTAAGAGATTTGTTTAAGACTGAAAAGGCAGGGTCTACTGCCAGAACAGACAACTTTTTGAGAACTTTTTTTCAACTGGATAGAGCTTGGCAATGGTTCTTGGAGAGGTGAAAATCTTTTCTGGATTTACCCATTCACCATAGCTTGTTTATTCTATTTGTTCATGCACAGGGAATGTATTTTTAGATTTATCAAGTTTCTTTGTACCCAAAGTGGCATGGTGAGATAGAGAATTAAGTGTGACAATGCCAATGCCTTTGCGCAGAGCAGAAGTGAGCACTTCAGCTCTGGCAAGCATACTTAGTGATGCAGTAACATCAATTGTGTGGGAGCCTACAGCCTCCTCTAGCATTTCTTTCAGGTCTTCTTCAGGTAGAAATGGTGGGGCTTGAGAAGGAGCCAGGCATTTCTGAGACCTGGGCAGTGACAGCTATATTAAAGCAGTTCGTTATCTGGGAAATTGTGACAGAGCTGCAGAAAAGTCTGCCTTAGCCAGGTAGGCTGCTTGTTGTATGCCTGAGATCAAAGCTAGAATAAAATGCAGAGACCAGTGTTAAAACTGGGTCCTGCTCCAGTGCAAGGGCAGTATCATCATTATGATCATCTGAACTTATCCCTTATGCCTGGTTTCTGCCATTGCTATGGGCGATCATATTCCCCAGTGGTGTACTCACAGTAGAAACGTGCAGAAATTAGGCAAGCATGTCCGAGGAGTACACAGCAACCCGGGTGCAGACTGCCCTGTTGGCAAGCCCTTGTGGCTACAAGATAGGAAGAAGTGCCTGAGCACTTTACCAGCAACTCTGCCTAGAGTTCTTTATAAAGCGCGAAGCCCGTGGTGTGATGTAACACCTAGTCATCCACTTGAGACTAAGCTCCAGAAGGCTGAATTTTCACACATATTGCTGCTTTGCTGATTTTTTTTTTTTTTGCATGTAAATGCATATTATTCAGAATACATACAAACAATGTAAAGCAAGTAATGGACATAGTGTGACCCATACTTGCTATGGGCCTACAGTAACTGTGTAAAAAAACAGACCCTGCCTTACCTGTCCATGTTACGAATTCCTATAGTGAGTCCAGGCTTTGCCTGTCATGGTGTGCATACCCCCAAAGCTATCTTCAGGGTCTGGGTTCCATAGGGATGGACCACGACTCTGAACCTGTACAGCACACTGCAGCTAAATGACACGCATTGCACAAAGTGCTGAGTTCAGCTCCCAAGCAGGATGACGTGCCTGAAGCAGCATGACATATCAACTTTACGGAGGTTGCACCAATCCAGATGCACTGCTTCTATTGTATTAGAAGATAGTGAGGAGCTTGAGTGAAAAACTGATTGCCGATTCCAAAGAAAAACACCAAATTAGTTAAGCTAAGAGTGATTGCTCCGCAAGAGAGAAGAGGTCTATCATCTTAGGACACTAGCAAAAACTGAGGACACAAGGGGGTAGGAATATAGGGGAAACACTTTTTATGCAAATATATTTTTAAGTATATGTTGACAGTAACCTAAAGTTAAACTTTTTATTGTACATACAGGTGAAACTCAAAAAATTTGAATATCGTGTAAAAGTTAATTAAATTTAAGTTGCATTACTGAAATAAATTATTAGTGAAATTAATATATGAGAACCCTTTGCAGGTGTTATGGCTTAATTATCTGATTATAGTGGGACACTTTGAGCCTAGAATATTGCACCTTTTCACAATATTCTAATTTTCTGAGATTGTGAATTTGGGGTTTTCATGAGCTGTAAGCCTTAATCATCACAATTATGACAAATCACGGCTTGAACTATCTTGCTTTGCATGTAATGAGTCTATCTCATATATTTGTTTCACCTTTTAAGTTGCATTACTGAAATAAATGAACTTTTGCACGATATTCTAATTTTTCAAGTTTCACCTGTAGACTCCTAAGAGTCAGCCATCCTGACATCTGATATTTCAATAAATGATAACTGCTGAACTCTGCTGGTGAACATAAAGACTCCTAGTTTCAGGGCTCCTCTTAAAATACCACTTTTCCCACCATTTGGAAAACAACATTTACTAAAATATATCAGTAGAAGGAGCCACCAAATAGACTAACATTGCAGATCCTATCACTTCATTTAACTGTTAGAATTGTTAGATCTGCATACATGTCCCCAGTCAGGTATCAACAAACGAAAACAGCCAGAACGTCAGTATGACAGCCATGGGACTGCGATTTGTAGAAGGTCACCAATGGCAATGTATACTTTTCTCAGGAAAGGTTTCCAGGCAGCTAACACATGTAATTTAAACACCAGTACTCACATACCCCTGCAATGTTCTTGGAGAGATCCATTCCAAACTGAGCAGGACCTGCAGTCAATACCACTCTTCCATAAAATGGATGAGAAACTATCTGAACCGCACGTGGTGGCAACTGCTGTTCCTTCTGCTGTTGGCTGGAGAGTTCAATCATTTCTTGCATAAAACGCAAGCCATCTTCAGCATCTATAGAGCTGGCAGCCTGGAAAACAGTTAACAACATTTAAATCACCATTACTTTCCTAAGCTTCTTATGAACAACTTATTTTATTCTCGGGTGAATGTGAAATAGCAAGAACACTTTTGTAGGAGGCATGAGACCTTACAGTGGGTGGAAAAACATCCAAGAACTATTAGATGTGGTGGTTGCATTAGTTTTCTTTTTGAATGTTTTTTAAACTTTATTTTCACCTGGTGATTCAGCCAGTAAGTCTTTTATTTTTAACTCCCCTTTTACACATTAATCTGTCCGAACAAAGTAGCAGTTAGAGGGTTGAGAAAAAAAAATTAACACCCAACAGGGGTGCTTACAAAGGTCAGCTTAAATTAATTTATATACAGTGGATATAGAAAAGGATAACTCCCCTTTAAACATAATCACATTTTGTTGCTTTGCAGCTTGAAATGATGACAGACACAGGTTTTGTTTTGTCCAGTTGTATTTATATAACATCCAAGTAAAAGATAGAACACCAACATGTCCAAAAACATTTGTACAAAATTCAAAAACAGAATCACCGAGTTGGAAAAAGGCTCAATCAGGTGTAGCTAATCACCTTCGCAATGGTTCACAAATCCACTTGACTTTCAACTGTGATCAGCTGTGGTCATTTCATTAACTCAATATGGAGAGCTTTCCTGGAGCATTTCAGTCTCTGATAGTGCAACTGAAGCAAACAATCAACAATAGATGGCAAGGCACAGTCAAGAGATCTCCAGAATAAAAGTTGTGGACAGGAGAAGGTTGCAAAAACATTTCAAAAGCTTTATCATTGCCAAAAAGCACAGTGAAGTCTGTTATTAAGAAATTAAAGGTATCTGGTACAATAAAGACCCTTCCTGGATCAGTATGTTGCTCCAAAGTGGATGAAAGAGCCAGGAGGAAACTGGTCCAAGAGGCCTACAGCAACTCTGAAGCAGTTGCAGGAATTTATGACAGTGCTCATAGTGTGCATGTAACAATATCACAAATTCTCCACAAATGTGGCTTGTATGGGAGGGTTGCAAGAAAAAAAAGCCGCTGCTCAAGAAAAGCCACATGCAGTCACAACTGAGCTTTGCCAAAATGCACCTTGAAGATTCTGAGGCCACATGGAAAAAGGTCAGATGAGACTAAAAGTGAATTACTTGGCCTCAACAATAAACGATATGTCTAGTGGAAATCCAATACAGCTCACCATCCAAATAACGCCATTCCTACAGTAAAGCATGGGGGTGGTAACATCCTGTTAGGGGGGTGTTTCTCTGCAGCAGGGACTGGAGCACTTGTCAGGATAGAAAGAAAATGGATTTGGCAAAACACCATCAACTTCTTGAGGAAAATCTGCTGCCCTCTGCCAAAAAGTTTTCAATAAGAAGAAGGTTCACCATCCAACATGGTAATGACCGAACGCTCACAGCAAAATTAACCACACAGTTGTTTAACGAAAAAGGTCTATGTTCTTGCATGGCCTAGTCAGAGCCAAGACTTACACCCTTTGAAAATATGTGAAGATTGCAGTCCACAGTCACCATAAAATTTTACTGAACTTGAGCAGTTCTGCAAAGAAGAGTGGGCAAATGTTGCAGGATCTAGATGTGCAAAGTTAGTAGAGATATATCCCAAAAAACTAAATGCTGTAGTTAAACCAAAAGGTGGTTGAAGTGTTACTAAACCCACAACAGTAAAATCAGTCTGTATATGCAGCAAAGCATGCTTGTTATACTCACTGTGAAACCTAAGGGGTTAATCCACCACATTGTGCAAAAACACTGCTTAATCCTGACTTCTCTTATCCTCTCCTTCTTCCAGTGTCCCCCTCTTATCTCCTGATAAGACATATCATGTGGCGTCACTCTGCACATGCTCAGTGTGGTATGTATTGCTAGAAAGGTTTGTTTTTTTTTTTCCTTGGGAGAGTGCATGTGATCAGCACAGGGCCAATCCGTGCTGTCCAGAGGTCAGGGGTCCTGCATGCTCCTGCAGCAGAATGAAAACTCCTCCTACAAGCTTTAACATATCCTTGGTTGGACACTGATAAAAGTCATAGGATTGGTCTAACTGCTGATAACAAAAGGTATTTAGCGGTTTATATTTACTAAAATAATTACACTTTCATGTTCTGTTTACTGTTGGAGACCAGATATAGTGAATGCAGGGTCCTGGGTTTAGTAACACTTAAAAAAAAAAAAAAAAAAAAAAAAAAAAACCCTGACAGAAGGAGGTGATCTTTTCTCCAACTTGCGGATTATGTTTTTGATTTTTTTTTTTAATTTTGTGCTGACATGTTGGTGTTTTATTTTTCCCTTGGATGTTATAAACTGTGTGTCCTCATTTCAGGCTGCAAAGCAACAAAATATGATTATTTTCAAAGGGGGGGGGGGGGGGGATTCTTTTCTATACCCACTGTAAAACCTTTATCCCCAAAAGGAAAAATAACTTCTCTGTAAATGCTTACAAAGTATTAGCTGGAGTTCAGCTTCAATTTGTCAATCAAATCCATCTTAATGTACTAGTATAACACTACCTTTTTCCAAGATTGATATTGCTTTTGTCCAAAGGTGTCTACTACTTCACTCACAATGCAAACACTCAGAGACAAGAAGCGTGTTACTGGCTGGATCACCAGGTGAAATAAATGGAAAAAAATGAAGCAAGAAAAACTAATGCAACCACCACATCTAAAGATTGAAAAGCTGCAATATACACTGCGCAAAAAAAGTAAAGGAACACTTTGAAAACACATCAGATCTCAATGGGGATAAAAATCATGCTGAATATATATACTGATATGGACTGGGTAATGTGTTAGGAACGTAAGGATGCCCCATAGTTTGATAGGAATGAAAATGATCAACCTACAGAGGACTGAATTCAAAAACAACTTGAAAATCAAAAAATGATGCCGCAGGCTAGTCCATTTTGCTGAAATGTCATTGCAGCAACTCAAAATGGTACTCAGTAGTTTGTATAGTCCCCACGTGCTTGTATGCATGCCTGACGTCAGGGCATGCTCCTAAAGAGACGACTGATGGTGTCCTGGGGTATTTCCTCCCAGATCTGGACCAGGGCATCACTGAGGTGCAACCTGGTGGCATCGGATGGACCGAAACATGATATCCCAGAGGTGTTCTATTGGATTTAAGATCAGGAGAGTGTGGAGGCCATTCAATGGTATCAATTCCTTCATCCTCCAGGAACTGCCTGCATTTTCTCACCACATGAGGCCGGGAATTGTCGTGCACCGGAAGGAATCCTGGACTCACTGCACCAACGTAGGGTGTGACAATGGGTCCAAGGATTTCATCCCGATACCTAATGGTAATCAGGCTGCCTTTGTCTAGCTCAGGGGTGGGCAAACTTTTTGACTTGAGGGCCGCAATGGGTTCATATATTGGACCCGGGGGCCGGACCAAGAGTAGATGAATGATGTGTATGTGTCATCCATAGTAAGTATAGTAATATTCCCCCATAGTAAGCATAGTAATGAATCCCCCATATAGTAATTCATCACCCATATAGTAATTCATCCCCCCTATAGTAATTCATCCCCCATATTAAGTCCCCAAGTCCCCCGTGTCAATTCACTTACCTTTGCTCCGAGCGTTCCTCTCGCCGTGTTCCCGCGCCGTTCCGGTGTAGCATGAAAATCTGTCTCCTATGAGGATCTGTCCCCCTCAACGTATCTGCGCATGTGCCAGTTTCAGGCATTAGCAGCCGATCGGCGATCTCCGGCACATGCGCAGATACGTCGAGGGGGACAGATCCTCATAGGAGACAGATTTTCATGCTACACCGGTCTTCAGGGCGGACTGTGAGAGGAGCCTAGCGGGAGCCTAGCTCCGCGGGCCGGATTAAAAGGGCCCGCCGGGCCGTAGTTTGCCCATTGCTGGTCTAGCTTGTAGAGGTCTGTGTGTCCTTCCTTGGATATGCCTCCCCAGACCATCACTGACCCACCACCAAAATGGTCATGCTGAATGATGGCAGCATAACGTTCTCTACGGCTTCTCCAGACCCTTTCACGTCTGTCACATGTGCTCAGGGTGAACCTGCTCTCATCTGTGAAAAGCACAGGGCACCAGTGGCAGACCTGCCAATTCTGGTGTTCAACAGAAAATGCCAATTCAGCTCTATGGTGCCGGGCAGTGAGCACAGGGCCCACTATAGGACGTCGGGCCCTCAGGCCACCCTCATGAAGTCTGTTTGATTGTTTGGTCAGGGACAATCACACCAGTGGCCTGCTGGAGTTCATTTTGTAGGGCTCTGGCAGTGCTCATCCTGTTCCTCCTTGCACAAAGGAGCATATACTGGTCCTGCTGATGTGTTAAGGACCTTCTACGGCCCTGCCCAGCTCTCCTAGAGTAACTGCCCCAACTCCTGGAATCTCCTCCATGCTCTTGAGACTGTGCTGGGAGACACAGCAGACCTTCTGACACATATTGATATGCCATCCTGGAGAAGCTGGACTGCCTGTGCTATCTCTGTAGGGTCCAGGTATCACCTCATGCTACCAGTAGTGACACTGACCCTAGCCAAATGCAAAACTAGTGAAAAACAGTCAGAAAAAGACAAGTATGGGAAAAAAATGTCAGTGGCCTCCACCTGTCAAAACCATTCCTGTTTTGGGGGTCGTCTCATTGTTGCCCATCTAGTGCACCTGTTGTAAATTTCATTAACACCAAAGCAGCTAAAACTAACTAACTGGTACTTAACTGACCAGATCAATATCCCAGGAGTTTAACTGACTAAAAGTGTTCCTTGAATTTTTTTCAGCAGTGTATTACCTTTTTTGTTTTAATGCAGTTTTAAGCCCTACAAGGTTCCAGGAGGAAACCAGGCCACCACTAATCCCAAAACACTCACAACACCAAAAAGTGAGATTCTATGTATGTAATTTATTTTGTGAACCTCTCAAAATAAGAGCTAAAAAAATAAAAAAAAAAAATAAAAAAAGGTTAAATAATGTGTTATTTCCAAACAAAACCCATAATGTGGATTTATTT